CAATTATACATTATGAGATCTTAGTGAATTTATCCTTCCTATATCTTGAAACATTTTAGCTAGGAATTATTTATCATTATTCATCAGTTATTCCCAACTATGCTAAAAGAAAGACTAAAATGACAACAAAAATTAATACAATTGCCTAGGATGATGCAATAGTGAAAAAAAACCATCAAATTACATATCATTCAGTTTGTATTGCCCAAAGTAATGCATTTTTTAAGAAGGTACAAAGTCTAAAGATACCACTTTGTAGTCCTCTTTTTTTTTAAAAAAAAAAAAAAACATTCACTGAACACAGTACAGGATTTGGAATCTTTCATCTATGGTGGCAGGGAGAAGAAAACTAAAGGAGAAAGATATTTATTAGACAAATCAGAGATGAATGCAAAAAGACAAATAGCTGCACTCCAGACTCTTCTAATGAGGAAATTGATCATATAAGCAAAATCTCAAAATATGAGTTTTCAGATGATGATATCCTAACAGAAATTCCTAAAAATTAAGAGAATCTACGTAAACAATATATCTGTAATTAATCAGAGAAATATGATTTTACATTCAGTCATTCAGCAGGAAGGATGTTACCATGCAACAGTTTGAGAAAAGTCCCTGGACCATCCTGTTTTACTAAGAGGATATTATAATCTTCTTTCATCTTCTACATTTGTACAACAAAATTCACCTGGGATGGTTTGTAAGTAGCCAAATATAAGCAGGTGTATAAAAAAAGTGACTGGAAGGAAAATGTACCGTAGAAATTTTTTTAAAAAAATCATTGCATTGATTATTCTAAATGGTGTTTACAAACCTATAAAAGAAAATTCTTTGCAAGTTTAGAGCAAAGATGGTCATCCTCTCAACAAAATCATGAACCATTAAAGAATTCAGAAGTACTGCATTTGACAATGGAAGTGCAAAAATTACCAAATAGTAATGAGAGAATGTATTAGAGATACATTTGAAATCAGTATTGTGTTTTGACATAACAATAAGTTAAACATTAGAAGTGTATTTGAAATCTGGAACTATCATTATAAGATGGACATGCTTCAGGTTAATGTACAACAATTAAACAATTAGTTGAATTCAAATATGCTGCCCATTTCAGCTATATATATATATCTTCACAACCAAGAAAATTTGGAATAATAATTTGGGTGTGTTACGTTGAAACTGTTATTAAAATTTTTAGTAAAGTTGTGTTTCATTGTCTATTTTCACTTCTGCAAACTATTCATAAAATGACTTAAAATATAAAAAATAAAAATAAAGCGTCCATTCAACCCAGATAGTAAATAGTGATGACCATGTTTTCTAATATACTGAGGATTAATAAGCATTCCAGATGGTTCATACACAGTATAAAGGAACATACCTTGATAAAGTCCTAAACAGTCTTCCAGAGCAATGTTCCTTTAATTTGGCTAATCATCAGATTAAAAATAGTTTCCTAGGCTGACACAAACTTCACAGAAGAACTCAGCAACTCTTCTTAATAAATCCCAGGGGGATTTTGATGATCAGCCACTGAGTAGTATGGCCAAATAAAGTCTTTTTTTAAAAGGTACTTTTTAATTGAAATCAGAAGAACTCAGCAACTCTTCTTAATAAATCCCAGGGGGATTTTGATGGTCAGCCACTGAGTAGTATGGCCAAATAAAGTCTTTTTTTAAAAGGTACTTTTTAATTGAAATGCATTGATCGTACATATTTATGGATTACAGAGTCATACTTCAATATAAGTATACAACGTATAATGATCAAATCAGGGTAGTTAGCATATTCCCTATTGCAAAAATGTATCATTTTTTCATAAGAATATTTTAGCTCCTCTCTAGCTATTTGAGAACATATGATAAATTACTGCTAATTACAGATACCTAGCACTGCTGTACATCACTAGAACTTATTTTTCCTGTCCAGCTGTAATTTTGTGTCCATTAACCAATCTCCCTATCCCTTACTGCTCCCTTTCCCAGCCTCTAGTAAGCACAATTCTACTCTCTAGTTTTAATAGTTCAACTTTTTTTTTTTTTTTTAGCTCACACATACTGAATGAGAATATGCAGGACTTATCTTTCTGTGCCTGACTTATTTTGCTTAACATAATGTCTTCCAGGTTCACCCATGTTGCCGCAAATGACAGGATTTCATTTTTTTTCATGGCTGAGCAGTATTCCATTGTGCATACATACCACCTTTTCTTAATCCATTTATCTGTTAATGGACACTTAAGGTGATTTACACATCTTGGCTATTATGAATAGTACTGCAATAAAAATGGGGGTGCAGAGATCTCTTCAGCATGCTAACTTCCTTTCCTTTGGATAACTACCCAGCAGTGGGATTGCTAGATCATACGGCAGTTCTCTTTTTAGTTTTTTGAGGAACCTCTACACAGGTTTTCATAATGGTTCATCTCCACAGGAGTCCATTTCTCACTTATTGGGACTAGCAAAAATCCAAAGTTTGACAACACTTTCTGAAAGCAAAGCTTTGGGCAACACTCAGACATTACTAGCAGGAGTGTAAACTAGTATAATTTCCATGTAGAGTGACTTTGCAGTATCTACCAAAATTATAAACTCAGATACCCTCCAACCTAGCAATACCACTTCAGGTCTTTAGTCTACAAACATACTTGCATGGAGGAAGCAAGTATGTAAAAGATTACTCACTGCAGCATTGACTTTAGTAGCAGAAGACTTGAAATAAAGGAGAAAGTTCTATACATACTGATATTGGAAAAGCTCCAAAATATTGTCACTAACTGGAAAAATAAAAGCACGTTGTAAAGCAGTAAACAAAGTATATTAACATTTGTATTGAAAGCAAGGAGAAAAATGTACTTTTATTTTTGCCTATATACACATGCAATATCCCTGGACGGATATCTAACAAAACTTAAAACAGGTGCCTACCAGCAGGGAATATGGTTGGCTGGAGGGAAAGGAAGGAAAGACTTTATACTGTATACCTTTTTTACTGCTTAAATTTTGAGTTATGTGACTGCTCACCTCCTCAACAACGAAATATTTTTTTTAAAAAATGTTGACAGCACTTGGAAAAAAATTAATAAATGTTAAAATAACTATGACTAGATGTAGGAAATATTGTAAAGTTGTTTAAGGGAGT